CAGATAAACCCAACTCAACGGTTCAAATTTCTCTAAATCGCGGCCCGAAAGTTACTGCATATTGTTCACAGCTTCAGTTAAATATTGCCCCCAGTCTTGAAGCCTCACTATCAGGTAAACGTGCCGTTCTGAAGCTCCTAAACTCATTTGTAAAGGGTGCCTCGTAAAGAACCCGAACTCACTTTGTAAAGGGTGCAGAATGTAAACCTATTTACGCCATTGGATGTTTGTAATCACTTGGGTCAGTGGGGGCCTGAATATCAATTTGTCCCACCTGTGAGACTAAACATGAGTAAAGTGACCCACCGAGAACACAGTAAAATGAGGCAACAAGCCGTGAATTTCTGAACCAAAAAAAAAGACATCTCCGAGATGCCCGAAACCTCGGGAAATTCATCAAAATCGGGGATGTGTCTGGAAGTTCCTCGTTCACGGTGGTAACAGGGAGATTCACACAGGATAAGACCAATATACGAGTTCAAACTCACCGAGTCGAGACGGAAAACATTTTAAAATACCTGATCTCTGCCGGATTCGAACCCACGACCACGGCATTTGCCTGAATTTCAACCTGGAACCAGCCGCGCTTCGTAGGTAGCACATTGCGTGCACCTTCTCCATAAGTCTCGGTTCGAGCCTTAGGACGATATGCAGGCGATCCCCGTTCGATTCGGGGCCGGGTGATTCGATTTCGTGGGTTTCCAATACCTTTTGTTTCTCCTTTGTTCGCGTTGACAACTGTGCCTTCGGTGTCATTCCACTCCACGGAAGCCCTGGAGCTGAGCGCTGAGCCCTGGCGCTTGTTAAATGATATTGGTCCTCCAGTATATTCTTGAGTGCAATTTTGCTTTCGTGAATTCAACCGCCGGCGGATACAGAAAGCACCTGGTAGCACATGGTATGCGCCTCCTCTGTTTCAGGGTTCTTTGCCAGCTCAGTACGCACTGGCATGTCCCCCGTTCGATTCGAGGGTAAGTGATGTGCGCCCCGATGTCTGTTTTTTTGTTTTGTTCGCTGGGTTCGTTCCAGGTGCCGGCACTTCCAACTCCTGAAGTTCACGGTTAGTAAGTCTCATGTTCAAATCTTAGGCCATGTCGAGTTCACTTCCACTTCCAGAAATCCAACCACTAATGAAGTAGGAAAACACAAGCAGGAAGATACCTGGTGAGTAGCACATGGTGTACCCCCGTCAGCTTTGGCACTCCGTACCATTAGCATGCAGGAGGTCCTGTTCGATTCGGGGCCGGGTGATAAATCAGATCCTTCTTTTTTCTTCTTTTTGCCCGGATAGAACCATTCCCTCCAGTTCCTTCTTCGACCACAGGTCACGGGAGCGCTAATCGCTGCTCATTATGGTTTTGTTCTTCACCACATTCGCAACTCTTAGGTGTATTGCTGTCCACACACAGAGACCAAGCGTAAATATACAACTCGATATGAGACCGTATGTCCCGCGAGTGTTTGGCTAATCTTTCCACCAAGCGAGGCTGGTAGGTACTAGTTAGCTTAGCAGTGATTTAGAGATGCTTCCGTACTCCATATATTCAACCACCAATGAATGAGTTGGTCAATGTGGGGAGATGGTAGGTCGCCGTGCTCAAGAGAGAAGCGATTTGGCTGCTGTGAGGTGGTGAATGTCTTGACAATAAGCTGTATATACGAGCGCCACAGTCCAAATTTAGTTTCATTCGCTGCAGAGCTGTTGAAACATGGTTGAAGAGAGATCGAACAAAATTTAAGTTGAGATATTTGTGGGCCAAGAAAAAGGCAGTGCGGCTGCGAGGGGGAACTACAAAGAAAGGCGCGAGAAAGGGCCCCAGGTTGCGGTTGACATGGGAAGAAGAAAGCCGCATCAAGCCGCACTCTGCCGTCCTGTCATGATTCGAGGAGTGATGATTACGGCAGCCGGAATCCGGATCTTCCGGGCCGCCTTGGGACCTTGCCACCTTGGGCCCGACGGTTTTTCAAGTTCACGCATCGCATCCTCTGCGAGGGTACAACAGACGTGTGCCCGCAACAGGATCGACTCTCTTGGAGCCTTAAGCCCTCAAGTAGGAGGGCTTCGGCTTGCAAGTACAACACGCGACTCGGACTCCCGGACTCGGAGGTACGAGCGAGAATCTCGTATACAACTGAAACGCTACAACAAATCTCAGATTGGTTATAGCGTTTGTCTACGAGAGACTAATAAACTCTTGAGTCTAATTCAGAGCATTTTGTAGCCACTGATCAAAACTACAGTCAACCCTCCAGGGTGGTTCTGACACTGTCCCAATTATTGTTGATTGGCCACCTATCTTTCAAGTATCAATGGTGCGACCTTTGACCGTCATTTTCACCTTCGCCTCCGACCATATGCAGGCGGCTATTGGGCGAAAATCCACCCTCGTAACTCCTGACCATCTATGAGCTTGAGTTGCACGGCCCGAACATCTAATTGAACATGCCGCCAACATGCCGCCAGGCCGCAGCCAAATACGGCCACTCACCGGCAACACGGGGCAATGATCCGGACCTTGGTCAACGACCGACGCATTGCCGACGCGACACCGCCATCCCCGACATGCTTCTGCTCGCCGCGGCGCGCGATGCCCAAACACTCCCGTTGTCGCTGCTAGCGACGTTCGGGATCAATTTATCAAAATCGAGAGATAGTTTTTGAAATCAAGAGATAGTTGCCTCAAAAGTCGTGAGATGGCGGTTTCAAGATCGTGAGGTGGACATCTTGATATCGTGAGGTGGTGGTTTCAGAATCATGAGATGGGTCATTTTATCGTGAGGTTAATATCGTGAGGTGGGTTCAATATCGTGAGGTGGTGATTTCGGAATAGCGAAGTTAGGTCAAACCTCATGTGCAGTGTCTGATAACTCGGGGTTTCTGTCCCTCCACTCAAAATTGAGGTGGGTTTTATTTTTTTTACAAAACGAACAGCATAGTATGACCATCGACCTTCCGAAATTACTGCGCCATATATATATTCGGGACGCCGGTTGGCACTGGTCATCACCAATCTCACGGCCCATCTAACTTACGACCTTGACACTGGTCGGTCCTTCTGCATCCTTCTACAGTATCGACTGATCATTTCGTCGCCGTTGTCATGGTAAAGCTCTTGAAAAGCTCTCTTTATGACAGCACGCTGTTCACGAGGTGGCATTATCCTGAATTCAATATGCCTGAGAATGGCAATTCCGCACTGATAGGTCTCTCGTGGTGAATTTAGATCGCATATAATGTTCGCGCCTTGCTTCCTGGCAGGTCTTTGCTTCCTTCACAACCGGATCCCCCAGCTATGGTTTTTCCTTCTGGGTTTTCAGTTCATTCACTCCGAGGTACTGCGGTATTTCTCGTCTATCAGGAAGGGACTAAAAGTTACGGCTAGGGCAAGACAGTGCTCTGCGCGTCGCAGTGATGGTCTTCAACATTCTTTCGGCCGTCGGTTTCTTTTTCCTTGCTGCCATACTTCTTACCGCGCTGCTATCCTCGCGTGTCAAAAGGGTATCAGCGTGGTACGGGTATATTTTGGCCTGGATGGCTTTCTGTATTCCGCCTTCTCTTGTCCTTGGTCACCAGACACATCTCGACTCTCCGCCCTCTTTTCAATCATGCGTCGTTGACTCGGCATTAATGTATGCTTCGCGTCCGTTGTGAGTGTGTTCAGGCAACGTGAGAAATACACCTACTTAGGAGCACGCCATAGTGCTGGTTTCGCTACTCTATCACTTCTTTTACAAGTGAGAATTAAAATCTTGTTCAGAGATTCGCTGATCAACACTTCACTACCAGATGTATCTCAATGTCTCCACTCGGCTAAGACACGGCGAGGTGCGCTTAAATTGGATATTCTTCGTGAGTGTCAGTTGGCGTTCTGACAGACTCGAGGTTGATCATTCGAAACACAGCTGATTGCTCTCCCGCCCGGAATGTTTTTATTCATGTTTCTTTGGACATTGGCTGTACGTCTACAGCCGTTACGAAAAGATTTCCGACGTATACGTGGGAATTAGGTTGGAATTGCCAACCCGAGTCAAGTGGAACTGGAACCTACAGGATTCTATTGCCATCTCAATAATCCCGTACCGTGCGCCCATCTATACCGTAATCTAACCGCTCCTGAAGTTCGGAGATAGAGCCATCGTCGGCGCCGCTCTCGTGGTGCTTGCGACTTCTAGTGCCCTGCTAGTCGAAGGCAAGTGAATTCCCCATATATAACCGATTCATCTTACAGACTTCAATGCTTCAATGGAGCAGGCTTGACAATGTTGCTACTCTCTCGAAACTGGCGTGCCTTCCGGATATTGCAACGACGAGACGAACACGCTGTCTCTCTCAGTCTCATAATCCGTGTTTCAGTTTTTGGTATCCTCCCTATAATTGGACTTGGGTACGTCCCTTCAGTACCAACTTCGTGGGCGAGTAAATTCATCGTGCCTCGCATTAGACTAAGCTTTACCACATATGTGCCAAACCTGCCGAAAGCATTCTTTCTTGCATACAATATTCTGCTGGCGTCATGTCTGTATGTTTTCTCTGCTTCAAATCTGCTGGCTCACGAAGGGGCACTTGAAGTCCCGGCAGCGGCGGCCTTAATATTTGGATCTCAAATGGTGGGCTTTGACCTGATATTCTGAGACAAAGCAATCTAATATGGATCCAGGATATCATAGGTGTCTGGATGTTCTGGAGAAGAGACGAAATAGGGGAGAAACCGGATCCTGGTCGCAGCACAACTAATAGCTCAGCTGCCTGATTTTTTCAGAATACGATGTACTTGAAAACCAGGCTCGTCGGGACCATAATGGTACCATATGAAGTCAAGAAATGTCATGGGCGGAGTCTGTGTCTCATCTGTGCTACGTAGACAGAATCCAAAGCTCAAGGTCGAGTGTCCTTCAGTCGTGAGAAAGTGGCTTTAATAATATGTTCAAGAGAGTCAACAAGAGGATCAACATGGATTGGCATGCTTTCACTAATCGAGTCTCAAAATTAGGTGGAGGAACACCTGGTAGCACATGGTGTGCATCTGCATGTAGTATCTGTGTAGACGAGCTGCAACAGGAGGCCCCCGTTCAATTCGGGGTCGGGTGATGTTCGAGTTTCCGCTGACTATTTTGCTTTTTGTTGAACCGGTAAATATCTCGCGGTGTGGACAACATTTTGATGATTGTACTTGGGCAAATGGAACTTGAAAGGTATGCGAAAAAGCACTTGGTAGCATATGGGGTTGATATGGGGTGCACTTTTGTTTAGATCTTGAAAGCAAGCTGAATGCAGAAGAACGAGGTCGAGTGAATGGTGGTATTGTATTTTAATATTTTCCCTTTTACTTCTTGGGCCCCACCCCAGCCAGACCTGTTTCCTTCCACTTCTCTTGCTTTCCTTCCATTCAACTTTGATGCAAGCTTTGATGTCATGATCGATCGTTGATGTGGTTTCTCGGCTGAGTCGGCTTTTGTCGGGCGAGTTGTCGATGTTAGGAATCGGAGCTATCGGCGTCCAGTCATTCGAACCTCGTTGTCCTCCCGGCCCTCCTGGCGCGATTTACAGCACTGGCTTTCCCTATCTTTATAGCTAAACCAGAAACGATAGACGTTTTTGATGGGCGACGAGAGTTGGCAAACATTGATCAGAGTTCGCGCCGAGCATAGCCACAACCGAACACGCTTGTTTCCTCCGTCGCCCCACTGGAGAACATCCACAAATAAGCTTTATGACGACCTAAATACAATGGCTGTTCTACCGGTATACGGCGTCGATTTGTGCTTGGATAACGGCGGGAGAGGTGTGGATGGAGAGGTGGAGCTGTTTGGTTGTGGCTGTGTCGGCGCGAACTCTGTAATCAACGTTTGCCAACTCTCGTCGCCCATCAAAAACGTCTATCGTTTCTGGTTTAGCTGTAATAGGCTTTCCAAGCATACTGCCCGAATTCAAAACTATTTTCCTTTTAGTTCCAGGTCCCGGCCGACTTGAAAGCCTTTCAACGACAACGGAGTGCCAAACACTCGAGAAGACCTAGGTCGCGCGCCCGACATGCTCCAGCATGAAACATGTCAATCACATCATATCTCCTCCGACCCCTCCCTCGATATTGTTATTCCTGGCCCCTGGGCCTGCGGCGAAACCAGCACAGATGGCCACATCGCGGCGCGCGCTCAGGCTCTTCTCCGTTCTCCAGTGGCGACAGTACCGCTTCGGACGTGTCGGCTCCGCCTTCCTCCCATCCTTCACTGTCCTGGTGTCTCTTTCTTGTCGACAATAATGCCCCACTCCCAAGGCCTTGCTTTTGACGTGCTTTCTTCTCTTGTGCGCTGGTCAAGATCTGCCTGCTTCCGTGCCACCACATCCGACTACGGCATCGTCGACATGGACCCAAGGCGGAAAGATGCGCTCCCCGCGTCATCGACATATCGCCAACACATGACGATTCTGAGCATCCTCGGGCGACTTGCGCCTTGGCCGAATGCGACAGGTCCGAGATTTCATCGGTGCGTTCCTTCTTTTCTTTCGATTCATTCTTCGTTTTCGTTTGATGTTCCTTTGTGAACTCACGGTTTTCGAGTGAGTGGTGCGCTCGGGATGAGGCGGGAAAGGATTTATTCTGCGCGCAGGGCTGCGTCTGGACCGCGCACGGATTTATCGATCACCTACGGCGTGTGGGTTATTCCAATGCCGTGAGATGTGACGCGGCCCCCAATTCCAGCCAGCCTTCATCTGCCGTCCGTGCACAATCCTACTCCCATGCTCGTATACGGAAACGGGGACTCGTATCCACCGCGCTTTTGCGTTCCCCGACCCGCCCTTCGAGCGCATTCCGAGTGAGTCATTCACGGTCTGGGGACTTGGTCGTCGCAGTAACTTCGCTGGATTCCTCTCTGTGCATACTGCCCGGGGGGTCCCAGTGACCTGTATCGATGCCTTAACCGTGCGGCCTCGACTGCACTCTTCCTGTGCGGAGCCGAATCGCTGCGATTCGAGAATGCAGTCGTCGTAGTCGGGAGCACACCACTCCTTCAATTTGTTCTTGATTTATTCTCGTTTCTACTCGTTGGCTCCCCACCAACTTGTCCTTTCCCCGCCCCGTTGCGTTCCTCCGCGTTTTCATTTGGGGAATACGGTCGTCGTGTGAGGTCGCTTGCTAGGTGACACCTGTTGGTGCCTTTGTCGGTGTATCGCGTCCGGCGGTGGGCTCCTGTTCGGGGGTCACATGGGTTTGGCGCGACCCGTCTCCACTCCCACCACCATAATTCTTTGCTTCAATAGTTGCGGTTTTTCTCCTTTCTTCTCTCATTTCCCCTTTTCCCCTCACGACTCAATTTGCCTTCTTTCCCAGATGGACATCGCCCAGCCCGAGGTCCTTTGTCTTCGGATATCCAATTAAAAGGTCTCGTCCGCAGACCTCACACTTGCACTGCCAGGCAGGGGCCGGGACCCCGATGATCGAGTGTGCGCTGTACGACAAAATCAAATAGCAACCCCTTATAACCCTTGACGCAAGTCGAGTAGTTTCCCGAAGTCACGTCTACTACCTCCTCCACAATGTTGTTCACTGTGCCGCTACTCATCAACGGCGAGGAGAAGAACTCCTCCACCACCGTCCCCATCATCTCGCCTGCGTCGCACAAGCCTCTTACTCGTCCGCCTCCCATGCCGACGCTGACGCCGTCGTCGCAGCCGCATTCCCCGCGTGGTCCAAGACGAAGTCCGCCGTGCGCCGCGACATATTGATCAAGGCGGCGGACTTGCTGCAGGCGCGCGCTGAGGAGTTTCAGACGCACATGATCGAGGAGACGGGCTCGGGAGCGCCGTTCGCGCCGTTCGACGTCTTTACGGCGGCGGACCACATCCGGGACGCGGCGGGCAGGATTAGCCCCATCGCGGGAAGCATCCCGGTCTGCAAGGACGAGGGGACGACGCGTTGGTATTCGAAGATCCCTATGGCGTCATCCTCTCCATTGCGCCGTGGTACGTCTTGTCTCTTCATAAAACTAAAGATTGTATATTAACGTGCAATGCAGGAACGCCGACATCCTCGGCGCGCCCTCTGTCGTCTTCTCCATTGCGACCGGTAACACCTGCGTCCTCAAAGGCTCCGAGCTCAGCCCGCGCTGCGTCCACCAGATCGGCCGCGCTTTCACCGACGCGGGCCTCCCCGGGCGTCCTCCACACCATCTACACCACCCGCGCCGACTCCCCCGCCATCACCGCGCCGCTGCGGTCGTGCTAGAAGACGCTGATCTGGAGCGCGCGGCGTTGCAGTGCGTGGTCGGTGCGTTCCTGCACGCGGGCAGATTGCATGGCCACCGAGCGCATTTTGGTGTGCGCGAGCGTGGTGGACGCCACCGCGGGCTTCGCGCCAGCCGAGGGCGCGGCCGGCGGTGACGCGCAATCAGGCGCTGGTGGCGGACGCATTGAGCAAGGGGGCGAAGCTGCTGCACGGGGACCATACGGCGGTCCAGGCGCACCACCGAGACGGGCGAGGCGAGCGGGACGCGAATGCGCCCCGTCGTGGTGGAGGGCGCGACCATTAAGATGGCGCTGCACCGCGAGGAGAGCTTCGGGCTGAGCGTGAGCCTCATCGCCGTCACCAACGCGAGCGAGTATGGGCTGAATAGGGCGGTGTTTACGCGGGATTTAGCGCGGAGCATACAGATGGCGAAAAAGCTGGAGTGTGGGTGAGTCGTTTTATTTCCTCACTCGTATGGGACGCGATATTGATGCTGCCACAGCTCGGTCCACATTAACAGTATGAGTGTACACGACGAGGCGGTCCTTCCCTACGACGGCGTCAAGAGCAGCGGTTAGGGGCGCTTTAATGCGCAGGCGGGCTTTGTCGAGTTTTTGCGAAGTAAGACGATTACCTTCCAGGAGTAGCCGTCTCCGCTCAATACTCGTCGCATTCGAAAATGTACTTTTACTAGACACAGCCGTTTAGCGCACAATGGATATTCCACTCCCCTGTACTTATGTGTAAGATGATACGAGAATGTACATGGTGTGTTGTATTCATATCTTCCGCCTTGACTGCTGAGAGCTTCGTCGGTTGATGCCTGACAGTCAAGTGTTTCTTCAGAGGCTTGCGAGTTCAGAGAAGTAGAGTGATTCGGTTAGAAAGTGAAAGCGAGTTCAAGACCGACCAAACGTCTAAATGCCGCTGACCAGCAAGAGTGAGTCGAATCAAAGTCGAATCGGAAGAAAAATGGCTGGGGTATGAAGACGCAATATCAGGTGGTCTTCTGAGTGCCTCTCAGGCTGCCAAGCAGTTGCCCTGAGAGCAATAAACTCAACACGGCGCGTTGAATTTCCCACACGTCAACTGCAAGTGAGGCATGGAAGGAAGTGTCTGGTTGTATGTGACCGGGCTAAGCGGAGGTGCAGGGCGAAGACTGCTAAGACAGAGGAGGAAAACAAAGCGACAAAAAAAGATGTTAACAGCAAATGAATTCCCGCTAGCCGATTTGAACGACTGACCTCGTCATATCGTAACTAAGTACTAGTGACGCGCTCTACCAACTGAGCTAAGAGGGATATAACTATGACTTTTAATAATTTGTTATGGACAACAACATACCCTCTTTGGCTACCGTTTGGCTAACTCAACCATTACTGCAACCGCTATTATTTTTTCTCGTCTCCTTTAAGAAACTCGTCCTGTAAATGGTAGATATGGAGATCTAGACATTGGCAAACGGGGCCGGGAACTTCCGGAAACCTTTGGCGGGTTTCTTACCTTCAGTGTTCCGAACGCTTGTGCATTGAAGTGAGAGTTAGGGGTCATATTGCTCAAGTTGAAACTTCTTGACAGGTTCCAGGCGCTATTCTGGTTTTTCCAGGTCAGGCGAAACTTGAGAAGATTATGACCACTCAGAGTACTCACGCCGTAACTGAGAATCCGTCCAATTCAGATACTGATGGTGTCTATACTTCAAGTCAACCGTGAGAATTTCTGATCCACTGCTACACTTTACATTTTCTGCAACATGTTCAACTGCAAATTCGATTCTCACAATTGCCGCACAAGGGTATGGGTTCCACCCTCTAATTCCACCAAGTCGCTCAACGTCGGCTGCACCTCTGTGTTCATTGTCACCGGACCACTGCCCGGCAGCGTCACCACGCCAGAGGTCCCCGCCGGCGTCTCCAGAACAAGAGTTAGAGTCAGCTCGCTGACCGTCCAGTTTACGCCAAAGAAACCAAGGCCCGTCTCGAGTCCGCCTTCAGCTGACGGCAACCCGCTGAGAACCGGTGCAATACTCCAAGTTGCCCCTTGCGCGGTTGTTAACTTGATTCCGAGCAGATAGAATGTAAGCGCTGGGGTCGGACCTATAACCGGTGTAAAAACGAATCCAAAGAGCTAACCATCACCCTCCCGTTGACTAGCCGTGCGCATGGCTTGAGTAGTCAAAGTCGTAAACTGCGGCGGCACGGTATCTATACAAGTAGATCTTTAGAGGCAAACCCTCACGATTCTTGTTGAAACGTACCCGAGTGACCCGTTGGCGGTGAAACCCTCAAGAAGCGTGGACTGCACGCTCAGATTGGTGTACAACATATAACCCCGCTCCATTTCGAGTAGATCAATCGCGCGTTCCCCTCACCCGCGATAAAGTGCACTTGAACCTAAGTTGCCGATCATTAACTCGACCGTCAAATCGCCTCTCGCAAATGTATTACGGACCTCAACCCACCGACGAACGGAATAATGGTATCCGCGAGCTCGGGACTCAACGGTCCGATGGGCGTCCAGAACTGGGTCAATCCTTGGCTGATGGCTTGATTCTGCGCTGCAGAGGTGGTCAGATTGAACGCGACGGCAAGCGAGTTGCCGTCTTGCGGGTGAATGCTGTTCGGTAAATCATTGTCGTGGAACATTCCAGCACTCGCGTCCCATAAAAGGTGGTTGTACACCACCTTGACAAGCGTCGAGTTGGTAAGGTAGGCAGCAGCTAGGGCTGAATCTCCGATTTGGGTCGCAAGATCTGAGGCAGTGACCAGGGTCTGGGAATTATGCCCCGCTCCGTCGTCTCTGCTCCAGTCATTGGACATCGAAACGGGTACGTTTGCGAGGCCAGTTCCGTGTAGTTCGCCTACACCGATTGGACGAAGGCCAGATCGCCCGTGTATAAGTAATAGTTGTGCGTTCCGATGAGGGACCAAGCAATGTATGTGTCGCTTCCCTGTCAGTGTAAAGAAATCAAGTGAAATGCGTTTGGAGGAATAATGTGCTGCTTCTTTGTCGGCAAAAGATCGTTGAGGGCCATCAATTCCGTGTGCGTCGAAATACCGCAATCCCCAGACGACCGAGTTATTTTTTTCCGTAATCAAGAAGGGTTCAGGATTACCTGGCCAAATATTTCTAGAGATGGCACTTAGTCGACGGGAAAAGATGGACTTGAGAAAACTCACCGGTCCCGCTTAGCGCCATCAACCAGGATCGGTCCCTGGATGGGACCACCGGACGCATCGTTGGACGATCCACCTGTAACCGAGCTCAGAGCTATGGACCTACGCCCTTGGCTTTCGACGTACCGGACGACGGACACGGCTGCTGTCTGGCTTGATGAGCATCGATCGTGTTAGTTTGAACTGTGTAAGCCCCTGGAAAAAAAATGTTCAAAGAGCTCAACTGTGCTTGAAATTTCACTACACACCAGCGTACCAAAGCTTTGTCAAGAAATCTACGTGGCAAGGCAACGTTTGGGCAACGCCATATCGCCGGAGCAATATTCCTGAGCACGAGGAACGTGAAGCAGCATGTGGTGGAACGGAATACATCAACCTAGCCACCGGACAGACTTCATTCAGAATGGTGAAGAAATGAGCAGGTTATCCTGGTAAGAGTTAAGTTTCTTCAGTAGAGAGCTCCTCTTTGGCTTGAGAGAGCGATCACTAGGCGAGAAGCACTCACACAGATCCGGTCGAGATGTTTCATCGTTAGAGTAAGCACTCTCTAGGTCAGTCTGATCCTTGACGATGCGGGGCTGTGTGGGGTTTGTGTGGGGTGAAGTTGCGGGGAACTAAGCTGGTTTTGGACAAATTTGGGAAGACCATACGCGTAGAAACTACTACTAGAAAGTCTCCCTAGTCGACCAGAGATTTTTTCACGGTGGGTGGGGGGGTAAACTCACACAGAGGTGCGTGTGACGCTTTGGAATTGAAAATCTCAAGCTCGGGAGTTTAGGAAAGGTTGTCGAGATGAGCGGATATATACACAAACGTGTTAGTAATTGACAACAAGCATCTATTCCGAATCTGAAGCAAGGACCTGTTTCGCCTTCCCTTTCCCTTTGCCCATTAATTGGATTAATTTAATCCCAACGATCTTCAGGAGGGGAATTCAACATGCCTTTAGGAGTGCCAGCGACCGCGCGTTTCGCCCTAGGTTTGGCCGGGGCTCGGTTGCGGGGTAGAACAGGTGGAGCGACAACAGGCGGTGCCATAGCAGCGAGCTGAGCGTAGACTCCAGCGTAGATGCCTAACCAGTTTGCGCCCCCTGCGGGTGCGGGTGCGGGCGGCAAAGCAGGAATCGCTGCCGGCCTCATAAGTCCGCCGTAGGGGTGTAATGCCCCGGGCATCTCAAATTCCACCACCTGCAACGGAAAAAAGTCACGTTAATGCCCAACCTGGTACAAGTAAAGCAGCAAATGTAGATGCGAGGTTTACTTACATATCGCGGAACGACGAGGTCGACGTACTTGACGACGTATACAGCGCCTGATGAATAGGACTCGAACGAGTCCTGACCGAGTGGCAGCGGGATGTGGTTAGTGACTGTTGAGTATTTGTGTGAACCGCCAGTGCCGCAGAAGGAATAATATCAGTATACTTACCCATAGGCGTGCTGCGGCCGGTTATAACTAGATGACGTGTGAGCTGGGTTTGAAGAGAAGTGTTAAAGTACTAATACGAACCCCTACACATAAACATCCGTGATGCGCCTTGCGTGTACCCCAACGAGGTGGCAGGGCTCGTTGCGAGGTATATGCCGATACCACAGGCTGCGCCATGGACCATTTGAATCCCGGGAGAGACGCCGGGGATGAGGAAGCCGCCCTAAAACGCAAAATCAATACGGGCGGATGGACTGCAGTGGCACGCACCTTGAGTATCGGCTGGATGTTAGTAGCCGCCGTCCCATGAAACAGATTTCGCTCGGTGCTATCGATACCGAGGGCCATGAGAGTTGCTTTGGCAGCTTCGAAGCGCGCCTCCAACTTTGCATTCACGAACCAGTGCACTGCAAGATACAAGTTATAGACGTCGATTCGGATGATATATGCGCTACACACCTGTTTTGATTTTCATGTTGTTCGCCAGGGCCTGCTCAAAGTCGCGCTTGACTTCCTCCAAACTGCGGAAGCTCAGAGCAAATCGTCTTTCAAAGAGAAAACCAACTGCGCAGCATTATCCGGGTCGTCGTCGCCCTCGATTGTCTTCCCTTCAGCATCGATGACAACCTGGAACACGATGCCATCGTCGGGGACGTCCCTGCTTTGTGCGAGCTGCTGGCGCTTCTCAGCCATCTTCTGGTCCATCTCCTGGAGGTGCGCAATCAGACTCAGGTCCGCATCCTCAATTTCCTTAGCGCGCTTCTGTGCCAGCGCATCCTCCTCGTCCCATCGCTTCTGCAGCGCCAGCGCGACCGCCCGATCCTCGTCCGCGTCGGTGTCGTCCCGAGGCGGCGCCGATTTCTGTATCTTCGCTCCCTTAGGCGTCGCCTGGATTATCTCGATCTCTGAGTCGGAGGATTGGACCAAAGGACGTTTCTTCTTTGTTTTGCTGACTCTCGGAGTATTGACTATCGAGGATGGCCCTGCGAGCGGTCCCTTGCGCCTCTGCGGGGTCGGAGGCTCCACGAACTCGATTTCTGACCCATCCGCATCGCTGTCGATCCAGATAACGGACTGCATGATATGCAGACAGAAGAGAAGCTGGACCTTTGTTCAGTGCACCGTCAGGGGTCGGGTGCGGAAGCGAGAAAGCTGTGTACGCACGTGATTTTGTTTACGCGTTGTTTACGCGTTGATCAAGCCACGTGCACCTTAACAATTACTGTACTATTTCGCTCAATTCTCCGCGGCTGTGACCCATGACACAAATTTTCGAACTTCAGTTTTCGAAAATCCGCTGGACCCACCGTGACCGGGGAAAAAATTCGAAAATGTCACCGAGACTGGCCTGTTGGCGTGGGGCTGAAACACTGCTGAAAACACACAATTCTGGCTTAATTTGCTAGGGTTGAACCAAAGGTTAAATCAGTGTTACTTACCGTTGCAAGACTAGCCCCGAAGGACTGTAGACACCCAGAAAACAGGTAGCCTGCAGCAGATATTTGATGGTTGAGCAGCAGCAATTTCCAGTTTGGCATTTGAGTGAGCGGCGCAATTTTTTTCAACCTTAAGGCATTGTGGGGGAGAAAATTGGATTTTCCAACTCGTTTTCATCGATTTTGTGACTTCTTTTCAATGTTCGAAAATGTTCCCGATGACCCGTGACAGGTTCGAAAATTTTCTGAAATTTTGAGGCCC